TGGTTAAATCTAGCCAACAGCTCCGACCTACCTTCCTTTATAATCTGCTGATAACGTATACTACATTTGGTGTTGATTAGGCTGAACAGACGCCTAAGGTATAACGACGTAAGAAGAACAAACGAATTTCAGAAGTAGAAATTTCTCAAGGCAATCCTGAGTCAATCGACACTCGATAATTCACGTAATTCGGAATAATTCATGTAAATTAGACTTTTCATTGATTCTTGCGAAACTTTAAAAATATTATAAATATTTCTAAAAATTGTAACTATGTACCATTAACTTTTGTATATTATACTTGTTCTAGCAAACGCGCAATACACGTTTGATGGTCTTTAAATTATATATTAGAAATACATATTATTACATATTAGAATTATATATTATATATTATTATATAATGTATAATATATAATTCTATATTATATTCTATATTATTATATATTAGAGAGATACAATCTACAAAATTTCATGTTAAATGCCATTTGAATGATTATGTTCAATGCCATGATCATTTTCATCATTCGAAGTAATAAATTACTGGTACAATGATACGAAAAAAAAAAGTTTGTCGAGAGCAAAGAGTTAACCTGGACGAAAAGAAAAATGGAGCAAGAATGGCAGAAAAAGTGACAAAACTAATATCTCTTATACAATATAAATATAACTTAAAGCGACCACCAACGTGTATTCCTAAAACAAGTATAACAAACAAAAGTTAATGATACATAGTTTCTCGATCTCTGGAAAAATAATATCCACCATTTTTTTTAAAGTTTCGTCTTCGAGGATACATATGTATTTCGAAACAAAAGACAAAACACAAGGCGCACGTACATATGTGCACTCTGCGGAGAAGAAGTGCGAGAGGAGAACGCGCCACGACCTCCGTCGTGGAGGCATAAACAGCCGAGCGGCGCGAAATCTCAGTTATCAGGCCGGCCAAGGGAAAAATCGCGCGTGGCATTACTTTGCACCTGTGTATATTTCATCGAGATACTAACGAGATCTCCCCCATTCCCCTCCCCCCTTCTTGAGGCTCGTGCACGTCTTCCTTCGCCCCCCGTGAAATACGGCCGCTCGTGCCGGAATTCAACAACGGATCTCACTGAAATTCTAAACAGACACGACACCAGGCCTGGGCGCGTGACTTTGCCGCGAAGTCGACGAACGAAACACTCCGTGTGTGTTTCACCGGGGGCTCTTGGCCATTCCACGATTAGCGTAGGTGTAGCAAACGCGAGATTCCTCCGGGCGAGCGTGATTCCACCGCGATACATGTCCCGGCGGGATAATACGATTCCACCCTTTCTGAAATTTTCGATTTAAGCTCGAAGCTGTCGGTGAAAGTCGCATCGCCGTTGTCACGATCGTCGAGCATTTTATTTCAGAATTAACCCTCCGAGCTCCTTATTCGTTTCTTAACGCGCTGAAGAATTCTTTTTTTTTGTTCCAAATTGCAACATTTTTCATCAGTTTTAAGTATATTTTAAATGTAACCCAGGCAAGTGTTACTTCTTGATCATTTCTATCCAGAGATATCGTACCGACGAGTTCAAAAGAAAAGAAAAGCGACGAATTATTAGTATATATAATATTAAAATAAATAATAATAAATTAGGTATTACTCTGTAATAAAGAATTAATTTATTACTTCTTAACAATTTCTATCCAGTGATATACAAAGTTCAAACGAAAAGGAAAGCGACGAATTATTGTATACGGTTCGGTCGCTCGTTATGGTCCGCAAACCAGGGGTTAATTCTTTGGGGTTAGGTAATAAATATAGGTATAAATAAATTAGTAATACCTGATTTATATATATTTATTATATATAATAAAATATAATAAATAATAATATTAATTTACTATAATAAATAATATAATATTATAATAAATAATAATAAATTAGGTATTACTCTGTAATAAAGAATTAATTTATATTTATAATTTCTCTCCAGTGATATCATACCGACGAGTTCAAAAGAAAAGGAAAGCGACGAATTATTGTATGCGGTTCGGCCACTCGTTATGGTCCGCAAACCAGTTACCAGCGCAAGGGGTTAAATACTCTTCTTTTTCAATTTCGTAATTATCATTTTTCACAGAATTCTTACATTTGTTTTTTTTTTTTCTGTTCCAACATAACCAAACTACTTATCAACTTGACTCGGTATTTTTCGCTCAAGTGCAACTTTTCCGATCAGCACTAAAAGAATTATGTTTGATATATTTTCTAGCAGAATTCACGATCTGCTGAAACTCGCGTACTGTTGGACAAGATTACAGATCGAGCAAAATGGATTTGTACAAACGTCCGACTTTCGCCGAGAAAACAGTGAGCGAAGTAGACGAAGTGTGGATTCGGATTCAGCGTCACTTTAGAAACACGCGTCGAGAGTGAACGTCCCTTTGGATCGCGACGCGACGCGATCAGCCTTCGACGCGTTACGTAAGCAAGGTAAACACTTACGTGCGCGAAAACCTGTTGTCGGACACGTCCAGGGAAAACGTTACACGTGCCAGCACACCTCGAGAAAAGCATGCTCTATTTGAGTTACACACTGGCGAAGCTCGTCAGACCGGGCAAAAACTATTTATTTACCGGCGACTGTGTTCTACCCTTGGCCGAAAAAGAACGAAGGATTCCGAGACGCAATTTGTCTCGTGTTGACGAAACGGAACGACAATTCCTGTTATGGAAACGGAGCGATAATCTCTATCGACGAAATAAACTTTGCAAGATCGTACGTGTAACGAAGAAAATATAACAATCTTGATTGTTATTTACAACATGTAACGGTTGTAACCTTATTTACAACACGTAACGATTCTATCCTTATTTACAACATGGTAACGATTGTAACCTTATTTACAACATGTAACAATTGCAACCTACGCATTATCGCAAAAATTCGAGTGTCTCCATTTTGATGTGGTCGATAACTCGGCCACCCTTTAATAATACCGTTCGACCAGCGAAAGTGGTATTAACGCATCAGCTGTTAATAATATCATTTAGCTTTTTGAAATATTCTACCAAGGCCACGTGGCTTGTTCTGCCTGTCGTTTATTTTCCACGCCAGCTTGTTAATCAACGAATCAACGAACAACGTTCAATTCAAGAGGTTCACCTACGACGCATTAATCGCGAATATTCGGCACGCTTTTGCATATCGATTGACATCCACGCTAACTCATCGCACGGTGAAACATTTATAACTGTCGGTCAAAAAAAGAACTGCTCGCAATATGTCGGTAAAACAATCAGCGAGGAATTAAATGTATAATCCGAGTCGTCGTGGCTAATCTATCCTAAAGTACAACTGAAACTCTACGTTATCGACGCGAGACGTCCCTTTCAAGTTTTACGAAAACCGACGTTCGTTTTTTGTCGCCTGCGACGATCGAACATCGTGCATTAAAAGGGGGAGAAAAGATGGAAGGTACTCACCACCAGCGGGGAAAGAGTGACGTTTCGATCGAAATGCGTCGTCCTAGGATCGTGAGAAACGTCGAGTCGGTTCAACCTCCTTCTGGAATATATATCAGAGTTCTTCCTCACAAAATTGATCGAGTTCGTCGACACTGTACCCGATCGTAAGCCGGGTCACACCAAAAAACACTCCCGTGAAAAAGACACTTCTCTCGGCACGAGCAACACCCTCGCTTTTCGCGCCGAGGCGCGCATTTGACGTGTATCCGCGGACACGAGACGACAACGAACACGTCTTACCGGCCTGAACTCGCGCTCGCGACTACCCAGAGGCCCGTACGTCGCGATCGCAGCGCCGCGCGTGCGCATCGACCGAAACGCTCTGAAAACGAAATTTTGTGTCTCGCTTTCGTGTCGCCCGTTTTGTTTCTCCCCCTTGTTTAGCGAATCCCCCTCGCTCGCCATCAAATTCGTGCACGGGTCGTTCGTTACGCAACGACAGGGACGCTTTTCAAAACGTCGAATGCTTTTCAAGGAATCGGAGCCGATCGGTGAGTCACGCACCGTTGGAAATATGTACACACGTACGCCACGCGCGCGGGAGGAGAAATTTTTTCCGCGCAACGTACATACGTCAATCACCGCCGTGCAAGATCGAATTGATTGGACAATTAGGTTAGAAACGATTAGAATCGGCCAACACGTTCACACTCGCGACACGCGTGTTCGTTATTTGCACCGTTATCCACCGTGGCCGATGTTTATCGTTCGCGATTGGAAATTTGATTTAGGTGCGTGTACGTTCACGATCCGTCGACGCGACGCCATTACGGTGGAAACGATGGCGCCAAACTGCTGTTACTGCGACCGCTTCCGATTATCGAGATCGAAGTGCCCGTTTCGAGAACCCGTTGGGACGTCGTTCTAGAACGTGTAAACTTGACAGAGAAATATTCTGTCGTGCCTGTTTGGATTCATTCGTTTCAACCAAGAGGAAATATTATCCCTGGTAAAATATACGTGTATACGTATTAGAATTATTATTTGCCAACTGAAACAGTGAAAATGAATTTCGATTAATTATCGCAGACGGAAATGGCGCTTCGAGAATCCGTTGGAACATCGTTCTCGAACATGAAAACTCGAAATATTCGCAACGTACGATCTCTCGGGATGCCTGTTTGGATTCATTTCAACCACGAGGAAATATTATCCCTGGTAAAATATACATGTATATATATATATATATACCTATTACAATATCATTATTTGCGTCGCCAACTAAAATGGCGAAATATATCGGTGAAATTGATTTCGACAATTATCGCAGGCAGAAATGACGCTTCGAGAATCCGTTGGAACATTGTTGTTCAACGTGAAAACTCAACAGGAATACTCAATCTGTCAGGATGCCTGTTTGGATTCGTCCATTTCAATCAAGAGGAAATATTATCCCTGGTAAAATATGATACATGTGTACGTACATATGTATCACAATATCATTATTTGCCAACGAAAACAGTTAAATTGAATTTCAATAATTGTCGTAGACGGAGATGACGCTTAGAAAATTTGGAACATTGTTGTCCAACGTGAAAACTCAACAGGAATACTCAATCTGTCAGGATGCCTGTTTGGATTCGTCCATTTCAATCAAGAGGAAATATTATCCCTGGTAAAATATGATACATGTATACGTACATATGTATCACAATATCTTTATTTGCCAACGAAAACAGTTAAATTGAATTTCGATAATTGTCGCAGACGGAGATGACGCTTCGAAAATTTGGAACATTGTTGTCCAACGTGAAAACTCAACAGGAATACTCAATCTGTCAGGATGCCTGTTTGGATTCGTCCATTTCAATCAAGAGGAAATATTATCCCTGGTAAAATACGATACATGTATACGTACATATGTATCACAATATCATTATTTGCCAACGAAAACAGTTAAATTGAATTTCGATAATTGTCGCAGACGAAGATGACGCTTTGAGAGAAAAAAAAGAAAAGAAAAATGTCAACGACCGTAGGACAACGGACGGCATGAATTTCATCCCGGTGTCTCGTTAACTGTACACGAACGGCGAAGAACTCGACGGCGGGGACGGCAGCGACTCGAGGGTACGGGGCAAGAAACGAAAGCTCGTATAATCCGCGTTCCCGACGTTCTGCACCGGTACCATTACCATTACCATTACCATTCCAGGTCTCTTTCCCGTTCTTTCACCGGGCAGCCGGTAAACAGTATTTCCAAGTCGACCGAGTAAATCAACAATCGTTCTTCTTCCCGATCACCGGTGCGCCTGTGTATTTCCCCGTCCGACTTACTTTTTTTCGCCACCTTCGCAATCGTCTCGTTGGCCAACGCGAAATACATACGGTACGACGGAGTATGGCCTCTTCCCGCCAGCAGGTGAGACCTTCTTTGTCCACGTGCTTTCTCCTTACGGGAATTCTGGTGGCCCAGGAGTATAATGGTGAGTAACTGTACAGAGACACGAGCCGAGCCAGCCGAGGTTCGGATAAACAAAACTGTGAGATTAATTCAATCGTCACTTTCTAATTAATGACCTGGTTGTACAGAGACGATACGACGCCTTTGTAATAACGCGTTTCGCAACGCCAGTTTGAACAGAGCGACTTCTATAAATTTCGAGAAACTCTCGTTTGTTTCCCCCGGGCAACGATCGCTCAACTTCTCTCGCATTGTCCTTGGAAATTGGCTCGCGTCGCGGCGTCAACGAGACGACGATGGCGAGCCATCGGACGAAAGATCGGCCGGCTGTAATTAACGAGCTCGCGAGTCAATTCAGAGATGAAAAAGAGCGTAGAATCGGTGTAACCGTACACCGCGTCTACACCATTAGCCAGCGGCTAATTATCGTCATTTTTCCCCCATTTCGCATGATCGATACGAATTTTTGTTCAACCGTAAAAAAGGCACGCGAACGGTCGGCTTATTGAATTTCTCGTGTCGAGAGCACACACGTACGCACACAGGCACCCGACGTCGTTTCAGCGTAGCCAACAGGTTGTCCAGCGGAGAGACGATCCTGGAACGAGGATCGGGTTTCCTGTGTAGCTTCATCGTCCACGGGAATATCGTGTTCCCCCGTCAACGGGGTGGTTCCTGCCGGAAACGGAAGCTCCTCCATAAAACGCTCAAGCTAATTTTTCAAGCAAATGTGTCCCCTCCTTGGAAAATAAACATTGTTGGTTTCATGTCCAAACTTGTGTTGTGTAAACACGCAACGAGCAATGTGAATTTGCACTTTCTTGAACGGAAGTTGAACAAAGAAATTACACGGCGTAATAATAATCGTGAGTCGCACTTTTTGCGAAATGAGTACATACATACATATATACCGCTCGGCAAGATCCGTCAAGGATGATCGTAGATTCACTTTGTGCTCGAACGTCATTCGATCCCTTGGGTATTAGTTTGTGTTCTCTTTCTCGTGCGAGCGAAAGAGTATAACAGCTGGAAGATGTAATCGTCAAATGCGTAAAGTGCTAAGGGTAGGGATGAAGGAATTGTAGAAAAAAAAAAAAAAATGCCAAAGGAGAAGATGAATGCGAAACGAAAAGAAAAGAACACCGAGTGTTACGATATCGTAACCGTCAAATTATTATTACTCTCTTACAATATCTGTCTCTTTAATGTTCTCCTTGAGCTATAAACCGTCATTCGTGTTTTGTACATGAAAGTATCCAAAAAGTCAAAAGCACTGTTCGACGCGTTAGTTTCTCCTTTTCTCTCTCTCTCTCTCTCTCTCTCTTTCTCTCTCCCACTCTCTCTCTGTTTCTCGCGCTTAATAATCGGATTTAAAAAATCTTCGCGTGCGCTTTACCTAAGTATATTATCTCCTACACGTATTGTTTCTCATTTTTTCTTTTATTTCATTCTCTCTCGCTCTCATTCTCTCTTTCTCTCTCGGGATACCACTATGTGGATTACAATGAACACCGCGGTGCTTCCGACGATCGCTCGACAGGATCAGGGGGTTCCTTCGCGCAATGAACGCGAGACAAACGTTGAGCTTCCGTTGTTTTCTTTTCTCTCTCTCTCTCTCTCTCTCTCTTTTATCTCGTTTGGCAGTGCGAAGCAGTAATCCCCCCTTCGTTTTCCTCCAATTGTTTTCTCTCCTTGCCGCGTGTTTCGTAACGTTTCGGCTCGTCGTAGCGTATACGCTGGGAACACAATTCATGCAACGAAGTGGCAATTGATCGTCACGATACATATGCAGTTCTGTCATCGTGTATAAATCGAGCGATGACGAGAATTTTTCGCAATAATAATAATCTTACAACGACGGCACCCTCCACCAACCCCACCGTCTCCACCTAATCGCGGACGATTTATCGCCACCTCGGTCGGTATCGTGGAAAAAAAAAAAAAAATTAGGTCGCTAAAAGAAACGATCAGATATACACAGAAACGAACGATCAAGTAAAAGCGACAGGAGGCTTTCCAGTTTTCAATGTTGAAAGACACAGTGTGTTGTTCCGATGGTGCCGATCCGCGGTTCCCTACCGATACACACACACACACACACACACACACACACACACACGTACACGCACACGCACACACGCGCGCGATCGAAACAACGTTTTTTCATCTTACTCCTTTCTTTCCCTTTTTTCTTTGTCACCTTTATTGTACATACGATGACGGACGAGGCCATCGAAACACGTTCCTCTACGTAGCCTAAAATTTCCAGTATTAATCGAAAAACTATGCGATATTATCGTTTTCTACCTTTATACAAGAGACAAGCCGTGTTTTTTTTTTTTTTTCTGTTTTTTCGTTTTTCTTTGCTTTGCTTTTTCTAACCGACGGAGCAACNTTTTGTTTTTTTTTTTTTTTTTTTTTTTGTTTCTTTTTACTCGAGAAGATAGAAAAGTAGAAGGAAGGGAAAGAAGAAAAAAAAGGAACGCTAGCAATTTGCATTGGAAAAAAAAAAAAAAAAAAAAAAAAAAAAAAAGAAAAAAGAAAACAGAAAACGAAAGTACGTTCGAAATTATTTGCTCGTGACCTCTCTTGCAAAAATAGAAAAGAAGAGACCGGCTTTCTCTCATTTCTTTTTTTTTCTTTTTCTGCTTTTTTCGTTTAACCATCGTTTCTTTCCTCCATGGTCTCTTTTGCTCTCAGGCGAAATTCACGTATCTTATTTACACAATGCTGAACAATCTATTACAATTATAATCACGTACTCTCTGTTCCACCTTCCATACACACGTGTACAAACGTCGAAAATGAAAAGAACAGCTTCGCGCTTCTACTTTTCTTCTATCTTTCTTTTCTCTTTTTGCAAATGAAAGCTCCGATTATAGGCGTAGCTGTTCTTCGGCTCTCAGTATTAATGAATACCTAGTCATACATATATATATATACATATATATATGCAAAACTTTACAACATTCGCTAAAATATACATTGTATCGTTTAATGCGTGGAATTACTAACGCTAACGCGAGGAGAAAAAAAAAAAATACGATCAGTATAAAAAAAAAAAGAGAACGGGACAGAAAAAATATGGGGGGGGGGCGGAGGGGGGTTGAGAAGGGAACGGGAAATTTTTTCCTGTGAGCGAGATGAAAAAAAAATGAAAAGAGAGAACGAACGTGAGGAAATCGTCTTTTTTTTTTCTTTTAGATCCAACGACAAAAAAAAAAAAAGAAAAAAAAGAATGGAGATGAGTGAGAAATTTTCGTCCTTCCCCCTTTTCGTCCTGATGGTTTGCCACCTTTAAATTCGCGACGCGAAACTATATTAATAATTTTCTTCCCTCGAGTCGATCGTTCGATCCAACGAAAGAAACGAAATTATTCCGCGAGTTTTCCAGAGCTTTCGAAATTTCTTCCCCGATTTCTTTTTTCTCTTCGTCTTGCAGAGTTAATTACACTCGACAATTAATTAAACCCTAAACGCTAAAATGCGGACAGTCTTTTCCGAAGCGAACTATGACGATATATATATTCACGGTCTAAAAAAAAAAAAAAAAAAAAAAGGATACGGTTGAAAGAAATTTATTGGAAATTGGCTTCGAGAAGAATCGGAGATTCCCGAAATCGATATCGAATTTTCCCGTCACGGTTCACTGCCACGAGAGATCAAGCGTCATCCGGTGGTCGAAAGTTCTCCCCGCCGATCCACCCTCGCTGAGCAAGTAATTTCTATCTAAACCTAATCGATAGCTCGACACGACGGAGATACCGAGATGATCCAAGGGGGGAGGGGAGGGGAAGAAAATAATCCTCGATCTTCTAACGTCAAAGAAGAAAACAAAAAGAAGAATCGTACGAACGTGAGTTCTCACACGAGAGAAATTGGTCCCACCCGTGATAATAGTTACTGTTTTTTTCGTTACACACGTTCCTAACGATCCACAGATGATCGAAACGCGATGAGAGTGGAGCGAGAGGAACGACGATCGAGTCGCGATCACGCCACGAGATAAAATCAAACAAACGCATGAACACAATGATGAACACAAAGAAGAAGAAGAAGATGATGATGAAAAATCAGAATGAAAATCGAGCACACGCCGGGGACACGTGTATGGCACTAGCGGGAGAGAAATGACCACGAACAAAATTGGAGAAGAAACTGAAGATATTTTTCACATTTTGGTAAAACGGAGGAGAACACAGATGTGTTTTTTTTTTTTTTTTTTTTTGGCGGGCAGTGAAAGGGAGGAATATAGTAACAGAGTAAGCTGCGCGCGAAACGGAGTATATAAGGTAAGGTTCAAGTATGTGATTCGCGCTTGTGTGTGCATGTATAGCTATGCACAGAACACGTGTGACACGGGTCTCATTTGCTTTGTCTTACGTTTCGCTGGCAGTGCCTTGGTTTTATCGCGTCCATCGTCGCCAGGCTGGCAGTAAAATGCGCGTGTCGAACGATAAAAGGAAAAAAAAGAAAAAAAAAAAAAGAGCAGAGAATCCAAAAGTACACAAACGATCGCGGAGAGCGACCGGTGGAAGCGACGATTCGCGCCAGACTCGGAATTACCAAGATGAAAGATCGCAGTGGAATAATAAGGCTCCAAAAGATATTCAAACTGGCTGGCAGTGCGCGATATTTGGCAGTGACGCGTTTCTTCTTTTTCTCTCTCTCTCTCTCTCTTTCTCTCTCATCGAGTGCGAATCGTTCGATCCTCTCCGGCGAACCAGACCAGTCGCCCTCCATCGTCGTTCACCGCGGCGTTCTTCTCGTTGAATATACACGCAGAACGAGAATCTCAATCGAGAACAATTCGGTGAATCTCTTTTTCCCTCGCTCGCAATTCGCAAGCAAGCTGATAGGTCGCGCCTTCGCCCTGTCGGCAGCCCGTACCACCAGGCGATTTCTTTTATCGATAATTTCAACTAACTATTTACACGCTCGTCCGCGGTCGCCCCGGTTCGCCTACTTACTCTGCGCGCGAACCTAATATATATATATATATATATATGTATATATATATATATATGTATATATCTATATATATATATACGTCGAGATACAATTTTACAAAGGGAACTAGCGAGCGTCGGGTAATTACTTTGTCCGGGTGAAAAATACGCGCGCGCGCAGGCCGCGGAGCAACCGAGGGGACGCCACTTATGCATCCGCAAACTAGAGATCTATCGGGTTATACAGTATAATCATAATAATAATAATAATAATAATAATAAAAATAATAATAATAATAATAATAATAGTAAGAACAATTAATCGATCAATTAGCCTTATAGTGTTCTTAATTACAATCGTATCATATTGGCAGTGTTTCTTAGCTGGTGTGTGTAGATGTGCTTCTGTCCGTGTGTGTGTGTGTGTGTTCCAAGCTTCTCTCTTCTCTCTTCTCTCTTCTCTCTTCTCTCTCTTGCAATTCCAGTTGTTCCCTCGCGCTCGATCCCATTTTGCTTCCCGTACTTACAGCTACACAACACGTCGTCGACACGAGTTTTCACCCCTCTCCCGCTTTGTTACTCTCTCTCTCTCTCTCTCTCTCTCTCTCTTAATTTACAAGTATTTCTCTTTTACTTCTCTACAATTATATATGTGTACAATGTGCGGCATTAGATCCCATGATGTCAGACGTTTTTTTTTTTTTTTTTTTTTTTTTTTTTCTTTCTTTCCGCGCGCGATACGAGAAATATATTTCTACGATCTCGGGCGTATTCTACATCTATGAAAATAGCGACACACACTCTCTTGTCTCTCCCGTGAATTTCTCATCTCTCCCTCTCTATCTCTCTATGTCTCGAGTATCGAAGACTATCGCGGTCGTATCATTTTCCCTCAACCCTTTTAATATTAACAACCGTGGAAAAAATCACACAGCCATCGTGTTCTATCCTCTATTCAAGGGTGGCGTAAACGATTGTACAGCACGATGCCATTCGCTCTCGCTGCCGATTTTACATTTGCTTCGGTTCCTCCTCTTGTCCGCTTCCTTTTATTCGTTAACACTTCCTTCCTTTTTCTTTTCTTTTTTTTTTTTTTTCGTCGCAGGTAGACCTCCCCGCCAGCGACAGACACATCCTATTCAGCAGTGATTCTACACATTTGTCGATCGCCGTTCGTCTTGGCTCGTTTCTCCAACGTGTTGTCTGTTTGTTTCCTTGCCATTTCTCCCCTTGTTCCCCTAACTACTGTTTTGACTCGGGTGAAAAGCGTCGAGACGATGCGGAATCTTGGAACTGAGGCTTGGTTCTGAGAAAGTACGTTACTTGTTGATCGGTCCTCGACAACCTCGCGAAAATGATGATGATGATGATGAAACGGTTAATCGGTTGTGAAAACGAGATTCCCTGTGCTTTCTTGGTAATTCTTTTCTTCGTTTATGCCAACTCGGCGACCGGAAGGTAAGAACGAGAGAGCTCAATGGAAAGAAACGAGATCTTCTTCGGATTTTCTCTTTGTTTCGTCACGCAGCGACAGGTTCGCATTGGCATGCTGCACGTAGCTAACTTACAGCAGGAAGATAAAAAAAAGTACACGAGAAATCGTTCTAGACACGAACGAGGCAGTTTTCTCTATTTTAATTTCATTTTGTACAACGCCTTTCTTTTTCTTCTATCTCTCTCTCTCTCTTTCTCTCTTTTTTCTTGTGAAGGGAAAAGTGAATAAATCTCGATAGAAACCGCGTTTGGCTTGTCGTCGGTCGTCCGACTGCATAACACTTTTTTTTTGCAGTTTTCAAGTTTCTATTTTTTTTTTTTTTTTTTTTTTTTGTGATACCACTTGGCTGTTGCACTCTGTCGTCGTTAGTCGTTTTGTAAGATTTCGTTATCCGATAATCCAGCACCCACGCGCTACGTTCCTCTGTTCTCCCTCTTTGTCGTCCTTCATCTCGTCGGCACGACAACCGGCCTGCCCACGAATTTCTACCGAGCTGAAGATCGAGGTAGATGCATCTCCTTTTTTTGAAAGTTGGTCGAGGGTCGAGGGTAAGTCGTTCTTAACGTCTTCCTTCTTCTTCTTCTCTCTCTCTCTCTTCTTCTTCTTCTTCTTCTGACATTTCCTCGGGGTATTTAAACAGGGCCCGGAAGTGCCAAGGGGCCGGTTGTTAGATATTAATTGATTTCTAAGGCCACCAGAGTGATTATCTCCTTACAATCGTTAACTAACGTTTAACAGTTTGCATTTTTCTCTTTCTTCGTTTCCCCCCCCCTTTTTTTCTCTCACTTTCTCTCCCCCAGCAAGGTTAACTCGTCGCGTTGAACTGTGTAGTAAAATTCTCGTTTCCATCCTGCGTTATTTGTATTTGCTTTTTTTTGTATTTTTTCTTTTTCTTCTTCTTCTTCCTCTTTTAATTCAACTCCGCCGTCTTCTCGATTGGTCTTGCACGACGGTCTTGCAACGATATAAAACGTATATCCACAGTGAGGCACTTTTGAGGCCCAAGCCTAGGCTCTTCCGAGTCCGACGAGTGTCGCCGCCTTTAATATCACAGGCACTCGTGGCAGGAATCGACCCCAACGTTTCAATGTTTGGTATCGATAGGCAACAAGAATATCTTTCATCGCTATCCACGACTACTAATATATATATCACCTAACGATCTCGTTCGATTTAGGCTAAATAAATTAGAATGTATTACTCTTTCCTTCCCCCCGTTTTTTTTTCTTTTTCTTTTTCTTTTTTTTCTTTTTTTTTGCTTTTTGGGTACTCTTAGCTACATTCTTAAACATTGTTTGTTCGTCGTTTTCTATTTCGCATTGTTCCTCGCCTGCAAATGCAGGCTCGTAACCTTTGCTTCAGTGTGTTGTTTCTCGAGCGTGGGTCTCCTACTCTTCGTCATCGACTCGTATATATTTCCGTATATCCATTTTTTTGCTTGTACCGTGCGCTTTTGTCCCCTCTTTGCGATATCAGAGGGTCGCCTCTATTCGCCCAGGTTCCTCTCTCTTTCTCTTCTCGACACAGTTCAGTTTCCTTCGGACAAATCCTCCCCTCCGTCCAGACCCAGAAAAGCACAATCGTTGCCCCGAATTACAGGACAACGACGCCACTCGTTTTTCTGGCTCGATCGTTGCTTTAATTACCACTTATAATCGCGCTTCGTCGTTGATCACCGTGTCCGGCATTATCACGAGTTCTTCACCGGTTTTCGGCGGTGCTTCGCTCGCATCAACGGCGGTGCACCGCCGTCCACCGCCGAGTACAGGGCCAGGCTCACTTCCTCCGGGTGCGACGACGCCACCTTTCGTATCTCAACGTTCTTCGTGCTTTGTACTTCCGACTCTGGCACCCACTCGTCCGGCTCGCTGGTGCAAAAAAAAAACAGCAAATTGCAAGATTAGAAATTCGTCGCCGATTTCTCGTCAAAGTTCGCGTCTCGACCAGAGATCGAATACCGACGTGTTTTGATATTCCGACATTTCATTGGTATTTGAGTTGGTAATAATTAGTAACACAACCTCCTTCTTGATCAATCTTATTAATATCGGTATTTTTAAATAGCTTCTATCGCTGCTTGGCGTCAATACCGGCATTTAAATATTAAAATTTGTACTAGAATAAATACTAAAATTTGTACTAAAATAAATACTAAAATTTATGCTAAAATAAATACTAAAATTTGTACTAGAATAAAAACTAAAATTTCTACTAAAATAAATACTAAAATTTGTACTAGAATAAGTACTAAAATTTGTACTAGAATAAATACTAAAATAAATACTAAAATTTGTACTAAAATAAATACTAAAATTTATGCCAAAATAAATACTAAAATTTATGCCAAAATAAATACTAAAATTTATACTAAAATTTGTATTAGAATAAATACTAAAATAAATACTAAAACTTGTACTAAAATAAATACTAAAATTTATGCTAAAATAAATACTAAATTTTGTACTAGAATAAAAACTAAAATTTCTATTAAAATAAATACTAAAATTTGTACTAGAATAAGTACTAAAATAAATACTAAAATTTGTACTAAAATAAATACTAAAATTTATGCCAAAATAAATACTAAAATTTATACTAAAATTTGTATTAGAATAAATACTAAAATAAATACTAAAATTTGTACTAAAATAAATACTAAAATTTATGCTAAAATAAATACTAAAATTTATACCGATATTCTAGTCTGATATTAAGCACTGAAACACGATTTTATTTACCAGTACTACAACATACAGATATTATATCAAAATCTAAGTATCAAAAGCATTTAGCTCCAACAACAGAATAATTACCTAAAAATACCGATTTCTCTTCTTTTTTCCCGTAATACCGATTCAATCTCTGGTCTAAACTATCAACTATCAACTACTTACATATCTGGAGGGTACCACCGCAACAGGACCTTAATCTTCCCGTCCAATTCCACTCTTCGGGCTAATACCTGCAGGACAAAGATTACGCAACGCAAGATTACTCGAAATATCTGACGAAAATCTCGCGAGAACAGTAGTCACTTCCGGGTTTTTCAACTCACTTGACTAGTTAGGGCCATCGAGTTTCCTGGTGTTTCCGCGAGGTGACCTTGCGTCCTCGACTTCGCCAACTGAAGTAACCTGTGCTGGAGTCCCTCCATCACCCCCGAGTCGAAGTAATCGAAGAGCCTCGCTGCGAGAAAAGAAAATGGCGGATGAGAGAGAGAGAGAGATGAAACCAGGTGGGCGAGGAGATCATCGTTTAAATCAATACGTAGATTGTTTAATATTTACCAGACCAAGGTTGCCGCCTGTATCGAAGCCGTTTCCCGTTTCTTCTCACCAGTTTCCCGCCGCTCTCGCAGCTCCGTTTCGCGTTGTTGTTGCTGGTTTCCGGCTGATTGAAGTGGCCGTTCACGTGCCTCTCGAGTGCCGTCTGCAAAACAATTCGCTGGATTACAACGCCAGGTACAGGCACTTTCCAGGGAAAGCCGCGATTCTCGTCCATACGGAAGGATCAATTTGTATCATCGACGAACTATAACAAGGGATGTTCTCATGTTATTGTTTTCCTTTTTTTTTTTTTTGTTTTTTGAAAAATGTAGGAGACAGAAGCACAAACACGACGAACGACGAACGACGACAACGACGATGAATCTAGGCGTAGTGAAACGTATGAATCGTTTCTGGGAAGAGCGGGCAAAACGAGAGACAAATCGAGCTCCAGTTCAGAGAGTAAAAGCTGTTTTTTTTTCTTTTTTTTTTTCTTTTTTNTTTTTTGTAAACCGTCCCTGAAAAATGCCTTGGTTTTCGAAGAAAGACCGAGGCAACATCCGGAGGAGGTTATTGCGTCGACCATGTACGTACGTACGTGCGCACGTGGGCAACGGTTAAGACAAAAGAAGACAGATTTTCTCGAGAAACATACGTCTATGTCAGAGAGAGAGAGAGAGAGAGAGAGAGACGTACACGATCCAAAATCATGTGAAGTGAAATCGAACCAAGAGTGTCTGCGGAAAAATATTTTCTTTGGTTCTTAACCGAGCCTTTCGAGACTCGCTTACGTTCTAGATCGGCAACCAGGGAGTACGTGCGGTATATGCTTGACAATTTCGAACGAGAGTCATTCGTTGCGAGATCGTGTCGCCTTTCGGGACCAGCAACGAATATACGTAGTCCCTCGTTTTAGACGCAACCATACATTACCCAACTTGTCAGGGGACAATTATCAGAGGACAAACGTCGGATAGATATAGAGGGTGTGATGTAACTGGTGGTACAAGCCGGGAAGATGGCGACTCTACATGAAGAACTGAATGAAAAATATAGAATCAAATTTTCTCATACGAACCTTTGTTCCCGTGGAAAATGGCTTTGAATGTTTATCGTGCACTCAAGATTGAAATTATCAGAAGACATTCCTTTGGAAATTTGGTAAAATTTAATTTACCAACGTATTCCAGTCGTGAAGTGAAGTGAGAAATCTTTGAAACGAAAACTACCAATATTGTATCGACTCCAAAATGGAAGAATGGTCTCTGGACTTGTCACTGTTGGATTTTTACTTACGGAATCATGTTAAATGGTGTATTCTAGCGACACAGCGAATTAAAAGGAAAAATTATTATAGCGTTCGCAACGTTGAAACTACGAAATAACACATTGGAAAATGTTGGTAGAACATTTAGTAAGAAGGGCACAGTTATGGGTATCACTTCCAACAATTTTTAAACTAAAAATAACTGGCGAAAAGTAGACATTCTGTGCTCTCGCGTACGAACGTTGGAAATGTTTACAAACGTTAGTATAAATCAATGATGGCGAACCTATGAGACACTGACCCACGCAGGTTTTTTAAATGACCCACGCGTTGATTTTTATAAACTTATCATCATATGTATAAAAGAATTTTAATTATTTCTCGAACCCCTCTTTTCAAAAAATGTTAAGAAAATTACAAGTGTTCGGTTAGAGCTTAAAAGNTGAGAAATAAATGCATAATTGTGTTTTATGGATGATTTACCCTATATGTATACCTTATGTATATTTTAAGTTTTAAATGTTATACGAGTTAGTTGTGTCCAAAAAATTTTATATAGCACTAAAAAACACACTAGATCCCATTCTCAGAATGGGTAGCTTTGCTAGTTTTTTATATAATAAAAGAGAGAACAGACAATAAAAAATATTAAGAAATAAAGTACATATATCTAATGTATAGTGCAGGGATGACTGGGCACGATGTCACCCCTTTTTCAATTTTTTGACGTAGACACTTATTTTTTGCTCTTCACTTGCAAAAGCAAAAGTTGTAAAACAAAAAAGGAAACGTAAATTGTTTAGAAGATTATAAAAGTGAGAACCAAGAAAAAAATAGTTTTTAACCATCCTCCCCATTTCCAAGTGACGCCACTGACTTAGTGACCCACCAGCTAGTACAAAAAAAAAAAAAATAATGAACAAAATTTGACCTACTTCTCAAAAAGGTTCGCCCTTCACTGGTATAGATAAATAATGAAATTGAATCTTGATCAAGTGCACGCGTAGTCGATAAGAAACATTCAAAGCTATATTTTAAAAATTTTATTCTACACTTTTTATTCAGCTTTTCACGTAGAATCGCCACCTTCCCGTTTGTACCACCAATTACATGACACCCTGTATATAAAAAAAAAAAATCATCATCATCATCATCATGATCATCATCATCATCATCATCAGATCTCAGCATCCTGAACACTCGAACGCTTGACAAATGGGAAAAACAAGTTTTCATTAGTTTTCACTGGTTTGCACGTCAGCATAAATTTAACGTAAGCGTTTGAACGGGGGAGAGTGTGATGGCGGAAAATTGGCGGTTTAATGAGACAGAGAGAAAAGATACGGATATACGGTGGTTAGAAAAGATACGAGCGCGAGGTTAGAAAAGATACGAGCTAAGGATAGTTCTCGTGAACGAAGATCGAGCGGCGAGTAGCCAGTTGGCAGATCATTGATCGTCTTCAACCTCGAGTAGAGTCGAGACGAGTGAGGAGCCTCTCGAGCATATTCCACATCAGCAACGGCGATTCTCTTCAATCGGCAATCCCATCGCAGGGTGAAAGAGTAGCGGCGGAAACAAACCGACTTGCGTCCACTTGCAGAAAATGGCTTACTATAATATTTACGATCGATGCGTGAAGAGGAGGAGAGAGAAGAACAGAAGACAGGATACGAGGAATTTCACCAACCATCCTTCGCCGCGTACGAAACAGATCACCGATCGCACAGGCGGGCTGTCCAAAAACTGACAAAGCCATCGGACACGACGCATTACCTGAGAGCTGAATCTGCTGCCGCAGCCGTCGACTATGCACCGGAAGGGCTTGTTGCCTCCGTGGGACAACACGTGTCGTTCGAGCCACCTTCGCGAACAGGAACTCCTGCCCTGCACCTTGCAGCCTTGCCACTGGCAGACGAAATTATCGCCTCCGGTTTGCGTGTTGATGTGCGCTACCTGAAACGCACGCGGTTTCGCCCGATGAATACACACCGAGCAACTTTTTCCACGAAACTGTACACAGGGTGGGTTGCACGTTGCCATCTAAGATTTACGTCATTGTTGGTTAGCGAAAAATACATCAGACAAAGTCGAATGGGTTTCGAGAGGTTCACAATTTGATGATGCCAGCTTTCTTGTTGGTGGACGTGTGGAGAAACCGCGTTCGAAGGTTATTAAATGGTTTTTTTAAATGGAATATATATTTTTTACTATATTTTTATATTAATTGTATTTTTATTTTATTTATTTTTTATTATTATTTACACGTGTTTTATTATATTTTATTTTATATATTTTTTATACTTTATATTGATTATATTTTTATTTTATTTTATATATTTTTTATTATTTACACGTGTTTTATTATATTATTTTTTACTGTTTTATTATTTTATTTTAGTTATTTTATATTAATTATATTTTTATTTTATTTTATATATTTTTTATATTTTATATCGATTATATTTTTATTTTATTTTATATATTTTTTATTATTTACACGTGTTTTATTATATTATTTTATTTTATATATTTTTTATTATTTACACGTGTTTTATTATATTATTTTTTACTGTTTTATTATTTTATTTTATATATTTTATATTAATTATATTTTTATTTTATTTTATATATTTTTTATTATTTACACGTGTTTTATTTTTATTATATTTTTATATTAATTATATTTTTATTTTATTTTATACATTTCTTATTATTTACACATGTTTTTCATTGCCTCAGTTGATGCATCTTGATTCTTTACAGAGAAAGTATTAACCTATGTATGTTAAAAAAAGTCACTAGTTTATTTTAGAGATATTTTAATTTTAATTTTGTAGAATTATCGCATGAAAGATACGGAAGAAGGACAGTATTCTTATATTTATACTGTCTTTGTCTTACAAGCATAGATTTTACAAAATTGAAATTAAAATGAATCTCCTAAACTAATGATTTTTTTTAACATAAATAGGTTAGTACTTTTTTGTGAAGAATATCAAGATGCATCAACTGATGCAATAAAAAATATATGTAAATAATAAAAAATGTATAAAATACAGAAAATAAAAAATATAAAAATATAATTAAAATATAATAATATAAAATTAATATTATAAAATAAAATAATATAAAATTAATATAATTAAAATTAATAATATAAAATAAAATATTACAATATAAAATTAATAATATAAAAATATAATAAAAAATATATTTAAAAAAAACGTTAATGACCTTCATATGCCCTCTACACGTCCACCTAGAGGAAAACTAGCGCCATCAGAATGTGCTCCCCTCGAAACCATATTCAACTTGATCTGAAACATTTCTCACTACTCACAATAATAATGACGTGAATCTAGATGGCAATATGTGACGATCCACTCCGTATATATCTACCCGAAGCGGACACCCGGTAGCCACACGAAGGTGTTGCAATGTATCGATTACGCTCGAAGGGGAAAAGAAAAGGAAAAAAAGAAAGAAATTGGGATTCGAACTGACAACAATGTAACAGAAAACTGGGGAAACACGATACAAGCGAGCTTCGTCACAATTCCACTTGTGCGTGATGCTCGAATTACACGCTCCACTTTTTTGCAAAAGTTCGGGGTTCGTCGAAAAAAATCAATGAGAATATGGTACCTGCAAGTGTTCGAGAAGCTCCCCGCTCGACTCGAAACTCTCCTCGCACTTGTCCCACCGGCAGACGCCGCTGTCCGTTCCCTGTTGCCTGTCCTTCTCCGGCTCTCGGGCAGGGAATCGTATGGTGGTCGGGGCAGAGAGTATCGGCGAGAGCAGCGGTTTCGTCGACTCGCTGCTCCTCGAGTCCTCCTCCTCCTCCTCCGCGTCGTCCTCGTCCGCCGGGCTCGCCTGTCTCTCCTTCGCGGAGTCGTCGGTGTCCTCGGGGACGGACAGCCTCGTCAACAGGTCCTGGCTACCTTGTTGAGACCTCAACGAGCCCAAGATGCCACCGCAACCGTTCGTCAGGTTGTTGTTCTCGTTGACGTGCGGCTTCGACAGGATGCAACCCTTGTAGTCGAGGGTGGTCGCGTCGCCGCTCAGAGCAGGGGCCGGCGTCGATGCCGGTGGCGAGCTGCTCTTCGCGTTCGAGGACGCTTCCGTGGACAATCTGATCCGACGACGACGTACGTGAGGAAAAACTCGACGAAAGTGGTGGCTCGAGAAGAGGGAAACGCGTACGTAAGAGGGCGAGTTTGCCTACCTGAGGGACGAGATCTTGCAGTTCTTCAACACGTCGTTGGAGATGGGCAGGCTAGGCACTGGCTTGGTCAACTTCTTGTCGATCTTGCTGTTGGTCCTCGGCACGATCACCGGCAGTGGCTTCTTCGTCGGCGGCGGCGACATGGTCAGGGTCCTCGCTTCCCAATCGTTGCTCGACGCTGTCCTGCCGTTCGGCGACACGTTGCTCAAATACTTGGCCAGTCCACCCTTGTTCCTCTGCACCGTGGCTGGCCTTCGAAATTCCGACGAGCTCTTCGCCACAAGCACCGACATGCTGTCGCTGCTGTTCTTCTTGATCTGCGAATCACGTTGGTACACAGCGGTAGAATACAATCATACCCAGTTTGATAATGTAACCGTAATTACCTTAGGCTGCTGTGGTTTGATTTGGGTTTTAAAATACTCGGTGATCTTTCCCTGGGACTCGTGGTGAAGGTGGTGGTGGCCTTGGGTGGTGTTGGGCTTGCCGGCGGACTTGTTGCTGGTGCCACGGGTGAAACTGGGATCGGCAGCCCCGGACCTCGGGAGGGTGCCAACCTCGGGCTCGCCTTTGAGCCTCTTGTAGGTCGAGCACGCGGTGGCGGCCAACGGCGGGGTCCAGGGCCACTGGGGCCTGGTGCTGATCTGCGAGGACGGCGCCAGCTTGGGTAGGGACGGAAGTGGACTGGCGGACGCGCCACGTATCGCTACCCCCTCGTCGCTGCTCGTGCTGCACGGCGAACCAGGCTCCGTGATATCGCTGGTACCGCTGCTGCTGCACTCCCCGCACGACACGGCCACGCCACTGGAAACGATCGCTAGTTTACTTTCGTCGCAGATCCACACTTGGACGACTTGGGTTCCGTCGTGGTCGTCTACGAATCGGGCGCCGACCTCTCCATCGACCGACCAATCCATTACGAATCGGTCAATGCGACATTAAGGTCGAGAAATTCTTTTTTCGTCCCGAAAATTCCAACATCTCCTCAGTTTTAGGTGTATTTGAATTTGTAATATGTCGTGGCAAGACGTGGATAACACAAGACGTTGCTTCTTAATCATTTCTATCCATACCGGCGAGTTTCGAAAAGAATATTACTATTACGCGAATATTACGGTCGCTCGTTATGGTCCGCAATCAGTTGCAAGTGGTTAAGTCGCGATCAATCGCGACGTATCGTATTTATATACTAATTGCAATTCAAACAACGCGAGAGAGACGAGTTTTGGTCTGAGCAGAGATCTAACTACACACTGATCACAAAAATTAGGGGATATCTCAAAAGCGATGAAAAAAAAAAAAAAGCATTTGCTTTTTCTTTTGATGTTCTTGTTTAACACAAAAACAAATCGAATGCTTCTTGCAATATCCTCTGCAATATCCCCTAATTTTCAAGTAGTTTAATTTGTTTTAATTCAAATAGTGCGAGAAAGAGACGAGTTTTAGACTTAGACGAGATATCTCTCGTCTAGTATTTCTTCTGACACGTCGTGAAGATTCTACAGACATCTCTCCGAGGCTGGTGTATCGATTATTTTATCTTCGTGTCTTTTCATCACCATCGGCATCGATTCTTCACTCCCAACATCGTTCATTCTTACGAGTGTTTGCAGCTCGATGGAGAAGCGAGGGGGAAAGTAGCTAGGTTGAAAACGGTTACCAGGGAAATTGCACGCTTAGCAGGTAATGGTATTACCAGCAGCGCAAACCTAATTACAGGGTCAGACGTTGGCAAATGGCCCGGCGTTTGGCAAGGCGGCCAGTGCCACAAGCCCTCGTTCGTCTTCGCTCGTTCGCAGCTCGGTGATTCGTGAGGAACCAAGGGAAGAGATTGCAGGAACACAGAAGCCACTACTTGCTTAACAAACGCGTGAAATGCTCTCTCTCTCTTTCTCTCTCTCTCTCTCTCTCAATGTCAATTTCACAAGTCGAGGAGAAGAAGAATCTGTTCATTCGTTTCGAAAACTGGCGCACGCGAAAATTGCTGATTAGTCGGCGAAACGGGAAACCTCGTGGAATCGGTTAACACCAGGGCTGGCCAAACTTTTATTCTGTACCAGTGCCAGTTTTTTTCTCGCGTAAGCGTTTGCCACTGAATTATTTCAACTGCAAAAGCGCGTTTCAACTTACTTTTTAATGGGACTTACGAACCTATTTCGCTCTTGACCAAATTATTTGTGAATGCTTTAACCTCTTGCGCTGGAATGACGTTAAATGCAATTCGGTCGCTCGTTATGGTCCGCGAACCAATTGCCAGCGCAAGGGGTTAATCCAATCGCCTATTCTGGTTAATAGATTTTGTCGACTAGTGGCACCTAAAGACGCTTTTAAAATTTACTTTCAAGGTACCGTTAACACGTCACTGGTGACTGACGAAGCAAATTTAGTACCTACTGAATTAAAATATATTAAAAATTGAAAAACTTTGAGAAGAGAAATAGTAGCTGAATGTTGCTTTTAATATTACATAAACGGTATACAAGATAATAACGCAATAGTAATTTTTTAATGGCTTTTAAATAAGTAATAGGTTTTAATACAATTTAAGCTAGGTTAAGCATCTATCACAGAATGTTCTAACATTCTTGAATAATAGATGAATATTACTTTTATTATTATTTAAAGGGTATACAAAATAATAACGTAATAATAATTTTAATGAGTTTTAACTAAGTAATAGGTTTTAATACAATTTAAGCTAGATTAAGTTTAGGTTAGGTTAGGCATCCATCACAGAATGTTTTAACTTTCTTAGCCTCTTGAATGACGTGCCACGCACGTCGAGAATTTTGTTGTCCCAAAATTGCAACATTTTCTCAGTTTTAAGTATATTTAAGCATAACCCAAGCAAAACGAATAATAAATTTATTACTTCTCAATAATTTCTATCCATATAGTGATATTGGACCGACAAGATTCAAAAAGAAAGCGAACGAATTATTGTATACGGTTCGGTCACTCGTTATGGTCCGCAATCGGTTGCCAGCGCAACTGGATTAAATTCTCACAGGTCGTTCTCGATCGGTGGTTTATCCTTAATTAATTTCACAAAGGAGACAGCTTGTTCACATCTGTGGATTCCCAAATAGGCACATATATTTTTTGTGCAAACTCTCTTAGTTTTGGAAGAACTTCGGGGAAAACATAGAATCTTTCAAAAATTTACCATTCAACGTCACTCCTGGAACAGGAGGTTGGTTGTCAAATTTCGCTTTCGAAAAACTAAGCGAAACTGACTAAATTCTGATACTCCCGGTCGAGTTAATTTCAATAATTTTATATCTTGCATCATTCTTTTCATTTGTTGTCAAAACCTGTTCCAGAAATCGCGAGACGCGCCGCGGTTGTTCCAGCGTACTCTGACAGAAATTGAATTTATTATTGGAACTTGGAAATCGAATCAACTAAATCAGTTTCGAGGTTTACGCCGAGACGGATTGAAGGAATCTCCAATTTTCTCGGCTCGAGGTCGAGAGAGAGAAAGCAGAGGAAAAAAAACCCTGTTCGAACGAGAATTGAATTCACCCACTCCGTAAGTTTCTCCCTATCTGTGGATCTGGCCATCGTCAGCGATAAATCCACGGAGCCGCGACTTTGAGCGCTCTCGTCGTACATCGGTAATTAATTTACCGACCGATCGATCGTCTCCTCCTGTTTACCAGGTAATTACAAAGTATGTCGTGGCCAAGAGCGGATCGCGGGGAGGAGTTCGCGCGCCAGAGTTCCCTCCAATCGCGGTTTCCTTCCTCCGTGTGTGCACTTGCCGCACACTCACGACGATATCGATCGCGCCCGATAATCGATCGAACCACTTTGCCAGCTGGCGACCGATAATTGCGCCGCGCTTCAGCGAAATCGAACGCATGCGTTGGCGTGCATTTGATAACGAGTCGTTTTCACAGTTCTCTCCTCCAAGGATCGTTTATTTACTCGTTTTATTTGTCCAACACCGGTCGAACTGACCGTTTTCAAACTTTCTGCGTAGAATTTCCCACGTTATCGCATTGTATTTAGCTTCACGATGTTTTCTTAAAACATACACACAATTTGAATTTTTCGGTGTTTACATTACCGAGTCGAAACATTTCTATTTACACTTTTATACTCTATTTACACTCGTCATATACAGAAAAATTCGCTTTTGCTATTTATTGTGAGATTTAGGTAAAAAGGAATTCTATATGTTTGTAATTTTAGAATATTTCTTTGGGGAATTGCTCGGACGCGGTCGATACAATGCAGAGACAAGTTTAATTTACCTCCAACGATTTTCATTTTCCGAATATTTGATCTTTTTACGAACTGATGAAAATTCAAGTTCTTTTCTTCATATTTTGAATTTTTTATGGAACAATTTTCAAAAAGTATAAATAAAATGTCGAGTCGAATAACAATTAACAATTTTTCAAAGAAATACCAAAAGAAAAAATTTTGTTAAACAATTTATGTCGATCAGATCATTTTGAATAGATGTACATGAAATGTAGGTAAGGTTTAGCGTGTAATCATAACGATCATAAATCGTTTGACGCTCTTCAACGAACAGAATGAGCGCAGCACACGATATAGCATAATCGTACACGACTAGTGGATCCTATAAGGTCGAATTTGGAAGCGTGTCAAGCGTGCGTGTATTTGGACGAGAGAATGGCGAGACGACTGAAGAACACATACGCCACACAACATTTGACTGAAAACACATTTGTTTTCGTTCCGTTTCGAAAGGAATTTCCTTTGATCCGAGCGGAAACTGGCGACGAGCGACAGGCAACTTTTTCGAAAGACACGAAACGTCAATAACGAGTGTCCAATCTTTCAGAACTTCTGGGCCTCATTGGCCAACAAAAATTTGTCGAGGACCGTGCATATACATAGTTCAACGTAACCTATATTATTTATAAGGATGTTAAAACAACTTTTACAGTGAAACGATATATTTATATTAATTCAAAACATGTATGAAAATTTTTTATGAGAACACTGAGCTTGTTTTTTAGATAGGTCATTTTCAAGATGCTCGTCTAAAATTTTTGTCCTTATTTTATTTATTATTTTTATTATTTTTTGTGTGTTTCAGGGGAAAAAATCTGTTCGCAAATATTAGGAATACCTATAAGTAATGTTTTCTTTTTTTTTTCAAATTTAATAAATACTGCCATCTAGTGACAATTTAATGTATTGTAACATAACCTATATTCTAATTAAGTACATTGACGTTTGGTGCTTATTGTTAAATTATGTTACACGGTACATTAAATTATATTATTATGTTAAATTATAGATTAAAACAGTATTCAACTCTTAAATAAACAATTTTGTACAGTATCACAAAAACGACATTACTCGTGGATAATATAAGTAACATAAGATGCCTCAAAAGGGACATTTTAAACAGCGCGTGCTCATGAAATGCTGAATACTTTAGGCAGGTGTGGTTTACAAAAGTCTAACAAAGACACTCGGATAAATTTTTCCTCGAGTTGTGTATATCTGATTGCAACTCGATACCTTCCATTTGCACGTTTGCTGACAACATATTAACATCAACTGAGCATGGAGTAGCAAACATGCCAACCTAAATAATCTAAAATAAAAAATATTTCTCTGTTGGCTCTTGGAAATTATTCCTAATCAGTCACTCTAACACTAAATTCAAACAAAACAAAAAAAAAGAAAGGTATGACTATTCACGGTGAAAATTATACAAATAACAAAATTCTTATTCAGTTATTCCAGTTTGGACATAACCCATAACCTCGACGATCGCAGACAACAGCCGAGTTGACGATCTAGTTTCACGGTGT